GCTATATAATAGAAGAGAAGTTAGTATTATAACAGAATTCAAGACTACAGAAACATTTGTTGCAAGTAATAAAATTGAATAAGAAGAAACAATTTCTTTATTGGTTTGGTGAATATTTTATGATCCACTCTTAAGAAGAGTACAAGACGAAATGAGTTTAGGATATAAAATTGAAGCATATGAAGTACTAGATCTACAAATGAATAGAGTTAAAGAAAGAAGAACAAGGCAAGCAGCAATAGCCTATGCTGATAACACAACCTAGATAGCAAAAAGCAAGGAGAAGATGCAAGCAATTATGCAAATTTCATAAAGATTTTTCAAGTTCAATAATATTCAGATTAATAATACAAGATCAAAGTTGTTGGCAATTAATCCAAGTATAAGAAGTGAGAAAAGATAGATAGTAATAAGTTCAGATCAAGTACAGGCTGAAGAAAAGTGTATACTAACATGAATGTTAGAAGTATAGTTGAATATAGAAGTGAATAAAAGATTAGTTAAAAAAAGGTGAAAAATATTATGCAGCAATTTATGAGAAGCTTATGGTCAAAGAAATTAACTATTAGCCAGCTAATATATATTAACAATATATGCATAATACCAAAATTGGTATATATATTGCAAACAGCAAGAGTATCTAAAGAGTACATAAATCACTTATATCAGCCAGTAATTAGATTGATTAAAAACAAATTAGGTTGCTGGCAACTGTAGGAAATAGCATAATTGCATATTAAGATTTAGAAAGATGTAGAGTGCTAAGTCAGAAAGTATTTAATAGTCAGGTGATTTCTTTACAAAGAAGACTAAATGAGCCAGATCAAGTTGGTAAGATAACAAGAATATGTGTGAAGCAAGGTTATGCTTTTGCAGAACTGATATCAAAAGAGATAAATACAGTATATACAAGTAATTTAAGAAAGATATAGAAAAGAAATCTTACATGTCTGATATTGCTATGAATAAGTGAAATAGGCTTAAAGATAAAGGCAAAAGGAGTTCTTTGGCAAGTTTTTGGTACAAATAAAACTGTACAAAGCTTGTTGGAGAATAAGACATTTAAAATGGCTTGTAAAAAGCTAATGCAGAGTAGATTATTTTTTACATAACAGTTAATAGATCAAGAAGGCAAAAAAATGATCACATAGAAGAAATTTAGAGCATTATGCACAAGTATATAAAAAGGCCAGAAAGCAAAATGGTTTGCTGAAATTGAACAGAAGATGATAAGAGATCAAGTAAATAGAACAGTTCATCCTGAGTTTCAAACACAAGAGATAAACACCATAGCAACAAAAATTGAAGTCAAGAAGTTATTACAAGATAAAAAAAAATAAGAATGGATGTTAGTAAATAAAGAGAACACTGAACCAATAGTAGGCAAAATAGTCAAAAAGAAAAAGAAAAATGTATTGCTAAATCATTGAAGCACATCACAAGTTGAAGGAGAAAGTTACTCAGTACTTATAGAATGTGATAAATGTAATCTGAGTAATAATAATAGTACAAGCAGGTGTCAATGTTGAGTTAAAAAAAGTGCAATAGTAGGAGTATTACTAGGAGTAAGACAGATATATAAGCAAAAGGTACCAGTCTTGTTTGAAGAACTAAAAAGGTACAATAAGTATCAGATTGAAAAAGATGATATAGGTAATAAAAGAGCCATAAGTGAAAAAATAATGATATATAGTCATGAGATTAGTTTATTGAAAATGCAAGGCCTAAACAGCAATTTAGAGAATATGCTACTAGAGCAGTTGGAAAAGAACATTATGGATAAGCATATAAAATATAAGTTTTATACAGATGGATTATTAGTAAAAGAAGGAAAAGAGTATAAAATAGGTGCAGGTTAGGTGTAAATTAGTGAGAATGAAAAGAAGGTTATAATAGAGGGTAATATTAGATTAGAGAAATAACTATTATTAACAAAGTCAGAATTAGCAACAATATTGATAGTAGTTTTAGTTATAGCTAATAACAGTAGAGTAGTGATTAAATTAGATAGTTCAGTAGCAATTGCAAGTCTGAAAAAAGAAAAGCTTATGTTTAACATTAGAGCATAGAGCAAAACCAAAAACTTCAAATTAGTAATGAAGATCAAAAATATGTACAAGTTAAAAAATATCGAATTAGTGCTGGTCAAGATTAAAGCACATAGTGGAGTAGTATAGAATAAAAAAATTGACAAACTCACAAAAGAAGACATATTGTTAGATGAATGCTCAGACCTGAAACTTGAAAGAAACTGCTGGTTTCCATGTACATTATATTAGAAAGATTCAGTAGTAGAAATACCTATCAGAAAATTTATAAAGACATTAATGAATATAATGAATAGTACTGAATGGTAGTGCTCAAAGATAGTTAGAGAACTTGAACCAAATGCTGAAGTTCAAAGAGATTGGAAAGCATTATGGAAGGAAAACAGAAGTTTAACAAAAGTTAAATATAAATCACTAAAGGCAAGTAAGAAGATAGCATTTGAGTTAAATGTATAAGCAATAGTTTGCCAGTTCTTGAGATACTAAAGAAAAGAATACCAGATATATATGAGACAAATGAATATAAAGAATGCTATAAAGAACAAGAGACATCAATACATTTGCTTAGATATGAAGAATACAACAGGTATTGGAACAATATTGAAGAGTTGACATACTGGTTGGTATGAAAAAAGCTTGATAAAGTAGATAAAAGTAAGATTACAAAACTTAAGCTAAGCAAAATACTTGTTGGAAGAACTCTAGCAGATAAGGTTAAGCATCATGAGTTATGTATATATGACTTAGCAATAGAAAGTATGTTTAAAGAATTATATATGAAGCAAGTGTTATAAAGAGGTACAAAACATTCTATGAAACTATATATCAAGATTATTGAAGAAATGTTTAGAGAAGAAATATAATAAAGAAGATGCAAAACAATAGCCAAATGAAAAGATGAGAATATAATAACCTTTAAGGTAAAACAATGCAGGATGAAGGAAGATGAAGATGAAAGCTATAGTTCAAAGAAAATTAAGAGTAGAAAAGACAACAAGAGAAGTGTAACAAGTAAGATGAAAGCTGTTAAAGATAAAGAGAGAGAAGTAGAAAGTTTTCAACTATTTAATGAAGGGGTAGATGAACTAGTGCAGAATGGAACAAATCCGTTCTGGTTTAGTTCTTGACAGAGCTAACAAGGTCTCCCAGTTTAGATATAAACTGGTATGACAAGTCACATTTAAGTGCTGTTTCTGTACTTAGGTGATGCTAGGCTTGCAATTTCAAAATGTGGATTACTAGAAATAGTTAATGTTTCAAATAGTAAAATTTTATATCTGAGCTCCAACAAGACTGTCAAAGAATAAAAAAAAAAAAATATTATAAAATAATTAATTATAATACAGAAGAATTTTTAAATTTTTAAAATTTTATTAATATTATAATTTAAACTTTAAATCTGTTATTTAAAAAATGATAACTTGATTATCTTACTATGTTATTATGTCTTTTTATTAAAATTTTTTAAGTTTATAACTATATAAAATTAAAAAGATACTGCTTTTTACACTATCATTTTTGTTTTTATACTATACAAAATACTAAAATTTTATTAATTTTCAGTTATAATATTTAAAAATTTTTAGCTAACAAGTGTTTTAATAACTTTATTAAAAAAAATTAATAAAATTTTAGAATTTAATATAATGTAAATAGCAATAATGATAACATAAATAATATTATTTAATTAAAATAATTTTTTTTACTAAATTAGATTTAATAATTATTAAAATATTTAACTTAAAGTTAAAAAAAAACTTTTATTTAAAAAATTATCTATTTTTATATATATAAAATTAAAAATATTAAAAAAATAATTCTAGTATAGTGACTAAGTTGTCATCTCCTAAATGGCAAGTTTAATGTTCAAATCTTATCTACAATAAAATTTAGAAATTACAACTGTTATAACAACTGTCTTCTATCGATCAGTTGGCCTTATGCAGTTATAATTTAGATATATCAAATCTAATAACTTGGGAGCTCAGTGCATCTATATAAAATATAATATTATATATTTATATAAGAATATTTATCAGTATTAAATAAGACTACAATGCAAATCTGTAATAAGACCATCAGGGCTGTTCACCAAAGGGTGTCGGTTAAATAGGCTGTCAGTGAAATGGTTGTCATTAAATGAGTTAATATCACATGAAATAACTACAATACACTTTCATAGTTTCACATTTAATATTGATGACCATGTGTTTAGATAGTGTATTTAGAGAGATTTTTTTAATGTTTAATAAATATAGTACAAACCATTATTTCTTATATAGGCACCAACTGTCTCTTGGGATTAGGAATTATAAATAACGTAAAAAAATATTCGGATATGACTTTAGATAGTAAGGACGTTCTCAATAATTCCTTCTATGTAATTTGAAAATGTTTACTCATTGCGATTAATTAAAAGTTTAATTTATGGACTTTAAATTTTAACAAACCAGAGTAAATCTAATAAAACAAACAGATTGTCTGCATTTCATCTCATATGTATTTATTCATAATAATAACTCACTTTGTTAGTTTGGAGAAATATGAAACAAGTTGACTTGCATGTACACAAAAATACTACTACTAGCTATTTACTAAATAATCATCAAGGCTTAAAAAAATCACTTTTACAAATAAATACTTTTTTTTTTAATCAAAAAATTTTATAAATTTTATTATTTATTATTATGTAAAATAAGAAATCTATAGCAAATCAAAATATAAAAAATTCTATAATTTATGTTAAATCTCTATATCGATATGTACATTTAAAATTAATTTTCAAATCATGCTTATTTTATATCTTAGTTTCCTTATAATTGTTACATAGAATATAATACATATTTCATAGAAAACGTAATGGCATAGATGCATAAATATAATAAAAAATAATATTCATAAAGCTTAATCAGCATATATGTTAAAATTAAAGTATCTTAAAATAAAAAAAATTTAGATCTGGTAATTAAAACTCATATCATAAGTGATCAATGTATCATTTAAAGTATCTTGATTCATTGTTGTTGTATTTAATAAATTAGGAAAGAAAGATAATTGGTCGTTAGGAATGATCATATTATCTAAAATGGAATTGTTCTGAATATCAAAGATTTCATTAGAGAAATCGAAAATTCCGAGACTATCATATATAGGAGACTGGTTTTCACCAATGAATAAAAGGTTATTTATGATATCATCGTTGACTTGTTGATTCTCTTGAATTGGAAAATCAAAATTATTTAGACTCGGAGAACTATCACTACTAGATGTTATTGATAAGTCGGGACTCGGATAAGTATTTTGATTACTGAAGAAATCTGCCCAATCATTAAATAAATCAAGATCAAAAATTGGTGAATTCATATCAATATCACTTAAATCATCAAGTTTGGGAGATAATAAATCATTGTTAGGAGAAGCTTGGAGTTCAGATACTGGTGATTCAAGTTGTTTACATTTTGTAGATTTATTAGGTTTATTGACAGATTTCATGAGTTTAGGAATTTTAACTTTACGAACAGAAGGTTTATCAAATGAAACAGTTTTCCATTGGTTTCTTTTCTTTTGAAGTTTTACTTTAGGAAATAATTCATTACGATAGTCAAAGGCTTCTTTGGAGATTCTTTTATATTCATTTTTTACTTCCTCGGGTTCTTGTTCCCATGATCGAGATACCATTAGAGAGATAATATTCATTGGCAAGTTATAACCACTTGCACGAGCAGTTTCAACAAACAATTTTCGATAAATCATAAAGGCATTAGGAGTTTTAGGTACACGACCATCGGGGTGAAAAACAACCAAATCATGTGGATTAATTTCTGGTGGGAATGAAAGTTTGATAAGTTGTGGATTATCGATCACCTGATTTTGAATCATGGGATCATTTCCGGAATTTATGAAGGCGCAAGCACGATTAACAAAGATATTAGATTGGTATTCGCTCATGTTTATTAAATTTTTGTTATTTATAAGCTTTTTAATGTTTAAATATCAGTTTTTCTTTTTTTTATACGCTGAACTGATGGTTTGGAATAAATCCAAATCTCGTTGTATTTATACTTTTCTTAGCCGTGGATGTAGGTTTCTAAATTGTTACAATCCATTAAACCAACTTAACTACTAAATATGGATATTGTTCGGTTCTGTTGGAATTTTTGATCTATTTATAAAATGACGTTATCTTGTACATATATGTAATTACACCGAAATTGTTCCTAATAATGAAGCCAGGTAACGGTTAGCGTTAGGGTTACTTTTTTGATTCAGTTAAGGTTAATGGATTATATAGATATCAAGAATGCATTTATGCAGTATGTAGATCATTATATGGCTATTCTAAATATAACTTATTGTTGGTGTGCTTGGAATAAAATCTATAAGCTTCTAAAAAAAGTGGCGTTATGTCATATCTTAAATCCACCGCAAATCTACTACATTAGTATGTTCGTTACACTCAATAATTCTATTTAAAAAAAGTGGCATTATGTCATATCTAAATCCACCATGAATATGCTACGTTAGTATGTTTCGTTACACGATATAATTTTATTGACAAGCTATACGCCACAGTGGCTGTGCGAATTTTTATCAACGTAACTAAATTTTAGAACCGAGTTATAGTAAATAGGTCAAAACGGTTCACCTGGGTCAAAAATTTACAACCCGAAGACATTCATCCAATTGATTAATTATTATGAATATATTCGTGATTGCTCGTAATAATTATTTAAACATTAGACCTGGTTCTTTTACCGATGAGCTTGTACCTATTCAAATTAAACAATTAGCAATAAAAGATTATTTAAATCTAATCATAATAAATAATTAGCAATAAAAGATTATTTAAATCTAAACATAATAAATAATCTTGGACGAAAACATTTAAAAGATTTCCAGTTACCATTCTTTATAGCACATTTCAATAAATAGTGTACATTTTGCCTTCTGTTAGGTGTGAGACCCTTTAAGGTTTTTTTTGCATAGAAATAGTGAATATTAACGGTTTCTAAATCTACAGGTGACTTTTGTGACAGTTATTGGTACTAAACATTCTGTCCTAAAAAAAGTATTTTTAAACTAGGAGTATCGAAAAACTCAATTTTTATGCAATCACAATCAACTAAAATTCTTTGTAAAAACAATTTTAATCCAATTAATTGCAACTAATTGCAAATTTTATTTTTATCATAAATTTTGAGATAATATAAAATTTTAAGAAATAAAAAAACTAATTACATCCAAATACAGAAATGTATTGTCATTAATGCAACAGTATCTAAATAATTCATTAAATTTGTATAAGTCGTTTCTTTTTTTTTTGATTATTGGCAGCGATCAAGGTTTGCCGGTCTAAAAAAAAGGCGTCTATGTAACGCTTGTTCGGAACTTTTGGAATTTAAGGAACTTTTTTAAAAGAAAAAAAATTTGAATGTTACACTGATACATCATTTTTTATATTAAAATATTTGTTAAAGTGCTTTATTAAAAATGTTTGTCAATTTAAAACTTTCGATGTTTGCTGTTATAACACCTTTTTACAGTTAATCATTTAAATACTGAACTGTTAATGCAAAAAGAAACGTCTAAACAGTGCTTAACATGAATGATATTTAGAAAATGATTAGATTAATACATTCAAAAAATTATCCAAGACTATATTAAATAATTTTAACAGATTTAACAAATATTTAATTGTTTCGAGTTCTGAATCGGTTTAACTTGCAAATTCAACAAATACTGATAACAAAATAATGCATCTATTCAAAATTTAAAATTAATTTGAAATGAAGCATCAAGAATCGTGAAAGAATAAGAAATCGTTGGCAATAATTAGTGGGCACAAACAGTTTTATGTTTGCAGTATTTAAATGTTTTTCAAATATGTAATATTTTGGTTCTTACAACTGGAAGTTTCGTAAATAACCAAAAAAAAATATACTTTAAAGTCATGTTGCTAGTCAAAATACAGTACTTAAGATTTGAAACATGTGATAAGATTTGGAACATAGGATAGGATTTGAGATTTGAGATTTGGTTTGGGATTTGACTAGTGTTTGGGCTTATGACAACCCAAATAAGGTTTGTCTAGTTTGGAATTTTGGATTTTGGATTTTCATATTGGATTTGGGTTTGGGTTGAATTTTAAATATTTTTTTAGTTTGGTGGTATATATACCATGTATACTTGAGAGTAGTTTATTTATTGTTTGCCACTGCTTACAATACTTAGGATCTTATTTAGAGATTCCAATTTTTAAAATTGAATAGTACTGTGTGAAGAACCGGGTGCTATATTTTGGGGGATATATCATATTAGAGTAATAACTAAAGCTGCAGACATTAGAATATCAATGAACATAATACATGACATAAGTAGTGACGTATTGATGTTACTACCCAAATTTTATATATGTAGGTAACGTAAAGGTGACATACTACCTTTGACCTTCTAAATGTCTGCAACACTAGTAATAACCTAATATAGTTGTACCCGGGTCTTACCATTTGATTTCGAATGACACAAAATATGGTTCAAAGCATAAGTAAAGACAAAAGAAGAATATCAAATATAGAAAGAAAGTTTATAAAGCAAGAAAATCAACAAACAATCACAATTCATCAATTATCTCAATTATAAAACATGTACTAAACTTTCGCCAAAAACACTTTGAATGTTTACATTTAGAACGAAAAGATATGCACAAGCTAAATCAAGCAAATTCTGATATACATAAAAAGGCTCAAACTTGTTTTTTTTTTTATAAATAGATAAACTTGTTTTTTTAAAAAAAATAAATATATATATAAATAGAAAGATGAATGAGAGAATAATGAAATTTTTTTTTGGCAAAATGACTTTTTGTGAAAAATTCTGATGCAATGGTCCTTTCGGAGCTAGAATCACGTTCTTTTTGTTTAAATTACATATAATTATGTATATGATGCAGATTTTATGTTGTGACACGAAAATAAAAGACAAAATGTATTGGAATGTTCATTTATCTCAGCAATAATGACAACGGCTAAAATAGCAATAAATGAGTCTTCGTCATAACATTATATATGGTGCCGCCAAGGGAAAACCTGTCGTAGGAGTCTCAATTATATTTTGTGTACAGTTGGCCGTCTAAGGAGAATCTATCGTCGGGCTTCCAAATATATTTTGATCCTGAAAAATTTTAGTTAGAAAACTACGTCAGATCAGATTTTTCAGAGGTCACAAAATATATTTGAAAGCCCGACTATAGATCGGCCAAATGTACACAAAATATAATTGAAACTCCTACGACAGGTTTTCGCTTGGCGGCATACATATAATAATAAAAGTTATAAGATAATTGTACGTAAAAAAAGTGTGACAACAAAATGGGAGCATTTTTGTGACAAAGATTTATTGTTGTTTTCAAAGAATCATCGAGGTGTCGATGTATCTGGAGTTGCTAATCCAGAAGCCTGAAGCTGCGCAGATGCAACTTCTCTATATGGAATATAATACCGATACGCCGTCATTAGATATAAGCGAAAAATTTCCAAATTAGGGGTTCGTTACATATAATGATCTACATACTGCATAAATTGTATTCTTTGACACGTATTTATATAACCCGCTAACCTAACTGGTACCTGGCTTTAACGTTCCCACATTCTAACGGAAAATTGAATATGTAGTGTCTGTATTACAGAAGCCTCGAATAAATAATGATATTATTGAAGACGATAAATTTGTCAGTTTCTCAACAATGGTGTTATTCTGCATTATTTCTGATAGTTGTTAAACTTACTGCGCTGTATGTCTGTACGACACAACTATAACTATTAAAGTTTGGAGTTATCTAGGGACATTGTTTCCCGAAGTGGTATAGAACACAAAAATTAATATTATAAAATGGATATCATAACGACAACGTTTTCATATCAAATTCGCATCAATTAAATTCAAATTCACACTCGCTCGATAACGACATTCGATAAAAATTTCTCATCTCACATTAACAATTATTTTGCAAAATGAATCCAAAAATCTTCGCAATCGCTATTATTTTCATCAGCTTTTCTTCATTCGTTAACGCGGGCCTCCTAGCATATGGCGCGTGTCAGACAGTATGTAATGTGGGTTGGGTTTCATGTTACGCTGCCTTCGGCTACGTCGCTGGTATATATTATTTAAATTATTAATTGTCGCGGCTGATGCTGAAATTTGGGTCATTATTTGAAAATACAAGCACTGCTAAAATTCATATATACTCTTTAATTATCAATTCTAACCCTAAACACTAACTTAACTATAAAAAAAAAACGGGGAAAAAATACTCTAAAAATTTTTGAAAAATTCATACCAAAATAGGTCCAAATTTCAGCATCAACCGTGACATTAATTAATTTTCATATTTTAAATGTAACTTTAGCGATAACTATATATTATTTATTTTAAAAGGAACGGTTACGGTGGGAGTAGGCACACCTCTCGTTATACTCGGCTGTAATGCTGCACAAGGTGCCTGTATGGCTCTTTGCGCTCCTCTGATAGTATTGCCTATTCCCTAGTCATTTTGCAATTTATGTATGCGCGTATATGATATATCGTAAATCGATATTCCTAAACTTCTATCTTCATGTTTTACTATCGCAGAAAAAAAAAAAACTTTTATTCTCTTATGTTATTATTACTTCATTTGTTATTTTCTTATGTGATTATTTTCATTCGCTCTTATGTTATTATCTTCATTCGTTCTTCCATTGTTTCATTCGTTTTTATGCTATTATACCGGTAGTAAATTTGTTTTTATAACATTTGCATATATGCGATCGCGCAAATAAACTATTATATTCATAAGGTTATTTAGTAAAATGAAAGTTTTCTGTTTAATCGCACAGAATAGTTCAATTAAAAATGTAAAAATCTAATAAAATACAAACCTATACTGATTATACTATCCAACTCTGTTCAATACAATAAATCGTTTAGCACAGTATACAGTATTCCTTTCATCAATGAAATTGTCGGGATAAGACGACCTTCAGGAACTGTACATATGCAGTGTTAAACAATATAGTCACATATTTAACCGACTATTTCACTTTTCCTAATAGCTCAAACAACTTTGATTTCATAATTTTTACTTTAAAATATAAATTTTACGTACTTATCACTGACTATGCATTCATAGTGTTTGCATATAAATGGTTATATCAACACTTTCCAGAAATAAAGAAATTTCTCGATACAATATCTTGGTTTGAATAATTTTATCTGTCGAGCTGAAATAATCAGTTCATTATAGTGAATCTTCACTATACTGTATGTACAATTATATAACATAACAATAACCATTTTAAATTGTTTTCCCCACTTTAAAAAAGCTTTCTCTATAGAACACAACCTAGAGAATCTTAATATCGTTAACTATAATGTTGGCTAAGTTCATAGGCATAATGTCTTATCAAGAAATAATACTTTTCTATCGCTTTATATAAGCATAAATAATAATAAATTTTTGTTATAGAGAAAGATTATGAAATCAGCTATGATGAAAATGGTCCATCATAGAAGAAAACAATTTGGGAAACAATGGAGTCGAAAACATTTTCCGTGAAAAAATATTATTGTCCACTACTAAGGAAAGATTGGAATTCGCAAAATGAATTAATCATACACGAAACTGCGACTAAACGCAGGTACAACCTTATATGTCATATTTATTAACATCCTTGCGACAAATACACTAACACTAAAGTCATTGTTTCCCAAAATTGTATAATTATAAAAATTATAAAAATGTGCATCACGTGATTCTTTGTATAATGATAAATCAATTTCGATTGGTTATCTAAACGATTAACAGTCAGGAAATATGCGATGATGCTAAAGAAGATAAGACTTCGGATTCAACCCTTGAAAAATCTAAAAATTATACATATATACATGGGCTGAATCTGATATATAATGACGATAAATGATAAAAGGTGCAATTTTAAATCTTCTGCTTGTCTTAATATTGTTTTTAATGATAACCCATTTATAATGTTTTTGCAAACTACGATAATATATATAAATTTTTAAGTAATTTTGAACCACATAAAACTTGAATCTTGAACAGTAACTATATATATGCATATCAATTTTACTCAGTAAAAGAAGCACGGGCATCTTCCTTGTTTAATTACATTTGATATTACACATTGTTAAATTCTTAGTTTTCTTCTAACAGACTATGATAGTTCATCAGTAAATAAACAGATCCGTTAGCTTTTCTGTAATAAAATTGATCGTACCTTTCTTGTGAATATCATGGAAATATTTCTTTCCAGTTCAGTAGTTTCAGATGTAAAAACGTTCATTGCCCGACTTTTATACTCGATATTTATGGATTCTTGATCAACTCTATTTTTAAATTGTCTGGTTCTATAAGCTTTCACTTCACATTTTTACTATTTATTGTTTATCCAAACAATTTGAATCCTATATACTTTCAGATAAATTAGAAAGTTTTATTGACAAGATGAACATACTTATAAATAGATTGTATATGATACTTGAATATTATTTTTTTTACAAATATTCGGAAGTTCATCATTAACAAATTCAGATGATAACGTTTTCTTTACGTTCCTAGTTTAGGTGCACAGCTAACTTATGTTTATATAACGCACAACGTTGAATATTTCTCTGAAATACATTAAATCATCTTAGAAATATAGATAAGTTTGGTTATAAAAGACATCATAAATATGGGTTATTTATAAATGCAATCTATATAACACTTCTTACGCTTGGTGCCAAACATATAACCCTCAGAAGATAGTCAAAGATAAACAAGCGGTAATAAAGAAGTAGATGATTGGATTAAAAATTTTTCAACTTAAAGCCACAGAAGATAGGAATGTAATTGAGTGAATTCCTTGAGTAATTTTTTTTTTTTTATCTTTACCTCCCTCCGCTATCCTGAAGGTCCTTAGACACCTTTAGGATCTGTCACATCTCTTAAAGGTCAGAGTTATCATTCTGCAAAGATCATCGGCCCCTGTATGTCACCGAACTGTGAGATAACTCATGCTCCATTAAGTCCTCCATATGACACCCGGGTCCCTGGTTCCGCGGCGTATCTCCTTCGGTCCGCAGTTCCCTAACTTCACATGACCCACCATCCAGATCATTCATATATTTCGATATTCTTATTCTACGTGTTCTTAAATCAGACACTCTCAATGTTAATGTCATTTGTTGACAGATTACGCTTATACATGTTGTACAAATCCGAACAAATCCCAAACCTCTAAAAAAATAATTGTTAATTATAAAAAATTAAATCAAACAAATAATTCTAAAATTTTATAAATATATTCTCTATAGTTAGAAAAATATACTTACTTAATTTATTTAAATAATAATTATTAATAAAATTTTTGAGCTATGAATTTGATCAGACTTTTTAGGTTTGTCTACTTTAAACAAACTTAAAGTGAACAACTCAAAGGGTCTGATCAAATTCATAACTCAAAATTTTTATTAATAATCATTATTTAAATAAATTAAGTATATTCTTATAGTTATAAAGAATATCTTTATAAAATTTTAAAATTATTTGTTTGATTTAATTTTTTATAATTAGTAATCATTTTTTAGGAATTTAGGATTTGTTCAAATTTGTCTAGTATGTATAATTACACCTTATCTGGTTGTTTTCAACCTTGTAACTATACTAATCATTGCATTTTTTATATATAAATTTTGTTTTTGTTTTTTATATAAAAATCTTTTACAAATCTTTTTCAATTGTGGTTTTAGCAAAGTTTTTGCTGCCTTTTAAATTTGAACTTATAACCTTGTGATTAGGATTCAAAAGCATTAATCACTATACTATTAGTTTATAGATTTTTTTGAATAATATTCAAAAAAATAATAATAAATATAATATATTATATTATATATATATATTTTTTATGTTAAAGTAATCTCTTTGATTTTTTAACTTTTATTAATAATTTTTTTGGTAATGTGATTCTATGAATTATTACAGGAGAGTGTATAATTAGTTACATATATAACTTTTTTATATTACTTATTTAAGAAGTTCATTCAAAGGTTTTTCACTAATTGCTATATCTAACATCTCTGTTAAAGTATTCCACTTTAAATCTTCTAAACCTATAATCTGTATTAATATTACTGGGTTATACTCAGATGTTTAGATCATTATTTTAATCTTAGACTATTTTATTCTCAAAGTAAATTTCTCAGAGTTTTCTGTACCTATTTTTACAGTTAAGTTAGATATTACTATAGCAGAACCAATATTTATAATTAGAACTTAACTATTAAATTGCTGTGCTTTTATAAAATTCGCACAGACCTCAGTATCTATTTCATAGCATATTTCTGATATTTTAGTATATTTCTGAATTTTATTATACTTTCAATTCAAATAGCCTGTATAAAACTATGACAAGTCTATCAATATATCAGATTAGCTTAATATCTTTTTTCTTTGATTCATTCTAGTGACCTAGTTGGTAGTACCTTTAAGATTTCCAATCTGAAGGTTCTATTCTGTCTAATTACTAAGACCTAATATTTGTTTTCAATAGTCTAGTCTTTACAATAGTATTGTTAAAGATTTAGATATCTTTTTATTTGAATTTTCTTAAATAGATTTTTTATTTTTAATTTTAACAAATTTATACAATTATAAAGACTTATCTAGTGTTTGCATTGTCTGATTATCAGTTTGCATTTTTCTGTATAACTTCAACATTTCACAGATTCCTATAATCTGTTAGTTATGCTAGTGTGATTATTATTACAGATATCCTAACCCAATTATTAGTAATAGTTATTATAATATAAATATTACATAGATGATTATTCAAATTTTTGTTATCAATGGGATTTGAATACTCAATCTACTATTTGAAAGTTGACAATCTGATCATTTCACTAGGTTACCACACCTCTAGATTATGCTATTTTATTATCTATGTCAAATATGTAATTTTAATAAAATAATAATAGGTATAAATAAGAATATTCAAAATGAATATCAACTTTTCCTACTGATCTCTAATTCTAAAAGTAGAGTAGAAACAAAACACAAAATACAACTGAAACAGAATAGAAAACAGTCCTTGGGCCCTTAAGAAAAAGGAGTTTATATTCAAAAATACATAACAATAGTAGAAGTACAACAACAGAAAAGGTATCTTTAACAGACTAAACTTGCTTTGAGAAAAATTTTCTTCTTTTTTAGTAGAAAAGTTGAAAGTTTGGGAAATTACGATTGATCCTGAAAAATAGAAAGAGAACATATAACTGACCAAACAATAACAACAAACAACAAACAACAATGTCACATTCCTAAATAAAAAATAGATAGATAGCTAGTAGTTAATAGTAACACAACACAGGTTGCATGTAAACAACTCAAAGAGAAAAGCATATAAGATAAAAATACAACAAACAAACCAAATGAATTGGGCTATCGATACAGATATTATGTACTACATTAAGAGAGCAGGTAATAAAAATCAAAAATACTTAAATTCTGAATTGTTAAACCAAATTCTAACAACATCTGTGAAAGAATCAAGCAATGTAGAGTATATAGCAAAGAACTTAGCAATAAACAACCCAAACCACATTACATTAAGTAATGTACTACTCTACAGACAAATTCTTAAGCCCTTAAGTCTAGCAGAATTAAGCTAACTCGAAGAAGATATAATAAAAGAATGAGCACAAAGACTTAGGCTGATAAATCAAAACCCAAAATTAGTTGAATATATTACAAATATGAGCAAAGAAAAAATATTTAAAGAAGAAAAAAAAATAAAAAGAATAGAGAAACTGAACAGCATAGAAAAGATGCAAACTTCAATAACAAAGAAAAGACATCAAGATATAGCAAGAGAAGAAATACTACAAGGAAAACCAATTCAAATAATAAATGAAATCATTGACCAAATGGAGAAGCTTAACATTAGTACATGACAAGATATGCAACAAAAAAGCCTCTCAACAAGCACAAACCAAACTTTTATAATCAAATCAAATGAAGCAGAAGAAACAAGAGAAAAAAAGATAAAAAAAAATATAGAAGCTCCAAGAGGTAGCATCATTCAAGATGTTAGGAAAAATATAGAAAACATCGACAAAAAGATAACAGAATTAAAAGAAAAAATATGACTTATAAAGATTCAATCTTTACAGACATAATTGAACACAGCCAATAGTTACCAAAAAATAGAGTATGTAATAAGTGGTTCTAATCAATTCACAGACAATCACTTTATAGACACCACATTTCACTGACAATTATTCACCAACAAGTTCATTTCACTGACAGTTTATTTCACCAAAGCTCATTTTATAGACAAATTAGTTTTAGCTACTATCATTAGGGTCAGGTTAGAGTTAAAGATAGTGCTTATAAAAAAAAACTTGTTGGTGAAATGAGCTTTAGTGAAATAACCTGTCAGTGAACTGAACTTGTTGGTGAATAATTGTCAGTAAAAAGTGGTGTCTATGAAGTGATTGTCAGCGAAATAATACAGATCTGTAATAAGAACATATTCTTCAAGGCAAACATGCTAGCATACATCTTACTAGGAGAAACAAGCAATGAAAAAATAAAATATGTGCAATGGATTCTGAATAAAAACATCACATTAAGACAATTAAAGAAGTTTTTAAAAATAGAAACAACTGAGTAAAAGTAGACTTTGATTGTGAATACAGTTAAGATGCAGTGATAGACAGAATTTAAGAAAAAGAGTGTGAATAGCTCAAGCTTATCTCAGAAAAAGAGAGAAACAAAGAATCAAAACTTGAACAACAGGTCAAAAATAATGACAAGAAAAAGAAAGAAAGATATAAAAGCCAACCTAGAAGAGAAGAATATAAGAAGAAAGAAGACTTGTCTACAATAGAAAATGAAACAAATTCATATAACTGTTTTACAATA